TTAAGGTTTAAGGAATGTCTCATTCCTTCTTTTGAACAAGCAGTGGCACGTCCGATTTCGGCGCAATGCAAAGGCGAAAATTTAGACGAGGCGCTACTAAACTTGTTTTACAAGGGAATGCAAAATCACTTAGCGTTTTAAAAACATTCAGTTTCAATTTTTACCGGGGACAGAACGCTAATTTTTTATTCCTGGATCAACATTCCCGTGAGAACCGGTTCTGAGGCCTTCAGGGGGGTCACGCATATTACAAGATTTGAGGGAGAAGGGAAACTATTTACTTTACATAGCACTTTGATTGGTCTTAAGGTTGTAAAAGTAAGTTTTCCCGCAAGTGCATTGAAATTTAACTCTTCTATACTGGAAAACATAAGTGTGTGGATGTCGCACAGTTGTAGGTGTGTGAATGCCCATTCGTACACTAAAGGGAGTAGATGTGTAAATTTTCCTTAGGAATTCACATATTTCTGCTTCCGTGAGTACAAATTTTGTTCACGCACCTACAGGAGTGCGACATTCACACACTCGTGTTTCCACTTTAGGCAAAATATTTCACTGTCTTCGAGTGGAAAACTTAATTACAGCGTTTGAGTATATAGCTTGCATACTGTCAACCCTGAATCCAATTGAAATGCCGACTAAAAGTTACTGTATCCCTTAAAAATAATTTGTAAACGACCCTTAATATTTCGCCTTTGGGTTGGAGTCCCACTGCAGCGTGGGAGTACAGCGGTTGACCCGGTGTGCTTTCTGTCCGTTCCAGATGAACACCACCCGCCGCCCACCTTCACTCCGCCAGAGCTGCCAAAGAAGGTTCACATACGAGGTACATTTCTCGTTCAAAAGTGTACCTTCTACTGCCCATAACGAAAAGAATAAATTTAAGAAACGTCCGTAAAAGTAAAGAAGTTCGACACTCCTAAATTAATACGCGGCTTCCGTACTTCTGTGACGAAAGAACACAGCAAAACTATTAAACATGAGGCATTTCTACATGTGGAAATACCAAAATCTCGGAGGGCTAGCACTAAGAGATTTGTACCCTGACTTAAAATTATGTCCTCGATCTAAGGAGTTAAGTGTGGCAGAGTTGCACAAATTCATATGTAGAAAGGAAAACCACCGAAGCAGAACCGTCAACGGTTTTCCATCTGTACAAAGCTGTAAGATAATTAGAGGCTGCATGGCCGTATCAGCTGGTGCATGCAGTACAATCGGAAAACGGTTTAAGCCCAATTTCACGCACTTTTTTAACCACTAACATTTCCATTAAGTGATAAAAACATACGCGGTAACGTTAAAGAAAAAGGTAAAGAATAGCGTAACTTATGATTACTTGCAAAGAGCAGAATTTTTGTTTTTTCTCTAACGAAAAATGTCTGAGGCTATAAAAATATTTGCATTTAAAGTGATTCGTAAATTATTTTAGGAGCAACACAGTTTCATAAAATGCTTGATTTCAGGTGAACAAGTTAAGGACCGAGAAGACGTTTCATGTGAGTCTTATCTTATTGAGGCCAACCGCTGATGACACGACGCCTTCATGTGAAACCATTTAATTCGTTTCAGTACTGGGAAACAACCGCAACGGGCGCAGCATGTCAAACGCACTGGTGAACTCGACCAACAAGCAGGTGAACAAGGTGAAGCCCACCGTGACCCGCACAAATAACGAGGGACTGACATCTCCGAGCCAGCAGGGGTACAACAAGCTGTAAGTAGATTTCGACCTACGTTACTTCGACTAATAAGAAGTTTGAAAAAGAGGACTTTGCAAAATTTTAAGTTGTCCAGGCAACCCAAAGGCCAAGATCACATATCTTTTCAATCTGCTGCTTTATATTTGCTTGCGAAAAGAAAGGAAATAATATCTGCTGAAAATTTGCTGAATAGATTCTCGCAAGTTAAGCTTTTATTTTCGAATAAAATCGATCTCGTTGCAGCAGATTTCTTTTTCAACGTTTCGGGGCCCATTTTAAAGGGTATAAAACCTATAATAATTATAGCTCCATTAACAGGGTAAACTACTCTCATAACTAGCACTCTGGAAACTCAAGTGTGGTACTGTCTAACAGTTATAAGTGCAATACCACGAGTATCGCACTTTATAGTGTAGTACCACACATGTATAACACTTAAAAGTCCAACCCAACTTAAAAGTGTGATACATGTGTGGTACTACACTTTGAAGTGTGATACTCAAGGTATTGCACTTATAACTGTTGGACAGTACCACACTTGAGTTTCCAGAGCAAAACCTGTTCGCGAATTCAGCACTGCCGAAGTGAAAGTGTACCGGACATTTTTTTGAATGCGCTGCTGTGCATAGTCCCTTTCGCCTGTGTTCGGCACTATGATCTCTGCGCAGTATGCAGTCCCGCATACTCTGGAAGAAATTTCTACATCCCCAGGCAATTTAAATCCTGACTCGAATTCCATGTTTTTCATTCAAGAACAGCCCTTTTCTATTTTCGGTGCAGAAACAACAATGAAAAAGAGCAAACCAATCCAAAAATATGAAACAAATATCTACTATATATTTGGTTCTTATTCTTATATAAACCTGCCTATCCCGCGTTTCATAGCTACAGCAGCTATATAAATTATTGCTAGTACCTCCTAGCATTTATTGTTGCATAAGGCTGCAGCCACATTTGCCAACCTTGTTTGTTTCTCTTTAATACCGAATGCAATGCTAAGGGAAGTTCTTAGTCTTACTTAAGTCAGCGCTAACTGGAAACGTAAATAGAAAAGGCAGCAGTACTCAAAGAAGCCGTTTCTTCTCGGGCGCGCGTTTATTTCTACAAGCGGTGTCTCATGAGCATGGCTTGCTTTAGAACCCCACAAAGTCGAGGGATGTGCAACGATTGAACCATTTACATGCTTTCGATCTCCAGAGTTATGTCAGTGTTTAGAGCTATCTATTCTCTATCGTTTCGTAGTTACATATGTCTATTACAATGTCAACGCAAACTGTGCAATGTGGCTATGATGTCTGCTGCTCATGTTTAACTAGTTTCCCCACCGAAACAAGTGCACAGAAGAACAGTCCTGAGATCTTTAAGATACCACCCTTAGCCGGGCTAGTCATTCATAGTAAACCTGATTGTTCATTAAACCTGACAATGTTTCCCTTTCATTTGGTTTTAACTCAAAACATACAGCACTAAATCGCACCTAGAAACTCTATTTTCATTTTTTTCCCTTGCTGATTAATTAAAATCTTTTTACAACACTCTACTACACGAGTATGTGGGATGTCAATATGGCAAGCGGAACACAAATCTATCAGGTTCTGCATGACTCAAAGTAATGCTTGTGCCAGAAAGGGTCTTGACGCTATTGTCACATTTCAATGTGCTCTTCATACAATTCTTTCGCGTTCAGCAGGTCTTCCGTGCATGGTGTGATTCTCCTGTGATTTCAGGGCTCAAGAGGATACAACATATTCCGGCTATCATCTGGCCTATGAAGTGAAAAAACTCATGTACGCTCAGTTCCCGTTTATTTCTTTAGAATGCCTTCGTACTTGTGCTGTTGCCGTACTATGTGGTTAGAATGGGACGCTCACTGGGGTCGAAATTGGCGTAGATGATAGGCTAGGCGACTTTCAACAACTTAACCAGTTAATTAACAGCTTTTGATCAGGCGCATAGAAGTAAAAACTCATTGATTGGAGCTATTTTTGTGTTATACTCATATTTCGCAACTACAATTGCAAACGTCTCCTCTGTTGAAATTTTTAGCTGGTTTCATCTTAAAGTGTTGTTTTACCTCATTCATCAACTTAGTAGTATAGACAATAGGTAGCCTCTTTGCTCGTCTCGTGTACTCACACTACGGCCATTAGGGTCTACAATGGTGCACCGCGGTAAGGGTTTGTGTAGGCCAAAGGCGTTCGACTACAGACAGCATGCGTCTTGACGGCAAGAATAAACATCAAGCTCACGGGAACATATCTCCAGTCGCTTACTCACACTGAGTGACCTGCGTTGGTCCGCCTTTCGAACGAGAGAAAAGTCTCACTCAGAATACAATCACTGTTCGCGCCAACCAACGCCGCGCAGTGTCAGCAAGCGACCCGGCCAGACAGAGCGAACGATTTTATTTATTGCTTGAATTTCTGCATGGTTTGTCCGAGTTTATTTGCACATTCTGCACGGGGCACTCGGCACGTAGCTTATTTGCATGGACCTCAGGATGCCCCCCCCCCCCAAAAAAAAACTGTAATTCTAAACCTCTACATTTCAATAACCTTATCTGAGCCGTGTAGTAATTCATACATTTTTATAAATATCCGAAACGTAAGTTTAAAACCAAAACGGATGATTTTCCAAGTCCATCACTCTCTCAAATGATCCAAAGGTGCAATGTCTTTCGAGTATACTTCGTATAGTTTACTCTCAAAACTGTACTGAAATTTCGCAATATTTAATTTTTGTTATTAAGATTTGACTTTTTTTTCTTGTGATCAGATTAGCAAACTGTTTAACTTGTCTTCTCTAGATGCAACAAGCCCCCCCTCCTGAGTATCGCACTTTATAGTGTAGTACCACACATGT